AACTTCTCTGCAAGATCAGATGATAAACAAATGATCTATGATTTCTCTGTTGATTCAGAAGTAGTCGGGTATAATGGTTACTTTACTCCTGAAGATGCTAAAAAAATAGCAAAATTGGATGAAGTTTCTGTCGTCGAACAAGAACAGGAAGTCAAAGCAAATTATGCTCTTCCATCTGGAAATAATGGCAGGATATTCAAAAGAGCCGTTGTTAATAATCCATTATTCAATTTGGATCGTATCGATCAAGCTAATTTTCCACTTGACAAAAAATACATCTTTCCTGACACAGCTGGTCAAGGCGTAAATGTCTACGTTATTGATACTGGAATCAATGTTGAACATAGCGACTTTGGTAGACGTGCAAAACATAGTGCTAGTTTTTGTGAAGGATGTGGCGATAAAGATGATAATGGTCATGGTACCCACGTTGCTGGTATAATTGGTGGGAAGACTTTTGGAGTAGCCAAGAAATGTAATCTACTTGCGGTAAAAGTGCTTGCTGCTGATGGTAGTGGTACAAATACTGATATTGTCAATGGCATGTTACATGTGCTCAGTCAGCATAAAAAAAGTTCCAACAAAAACACAGTCATTAACATGTCAATTGGCGGAGGTTTTTCTCAAGCTATCAATGATGTTGTCGAAAAACTTACCAAAGCAGGTATTCATATTGTAGTGGCAGCCGGTAAGGAGTCTTCAGGTGCTTGTGACGTATCACCAGCTTCTGCGCCATCTGCTATTACAGTTGGTGCAACAGAAGATACAAGTGACCAGATTGCCGATTTCTCAAACTCTGGCAAATGTGTTGATATCTTTGCACCAGGTAGTAATATTAAATCTGCCACTTTTGATGACAACAATGGTTCAATCGCATTCTCAGGAACCAGCCAAGCAACACCACATGTCGCAGGAGCAATTGCATTGCTTATTTCTAAAGAAGGCAATGCAAGTTCAAGTAGTGTAACTTCAAAAATTATAAAGTTAAGTACCAAAGGTGTTGTTGGTGGTTTGGATAAATCTACACCAAATAGATTTTTGCGTGTTCCATCAGCCTAATATTACATATAAATATAAATATAGAATAAATAGATTTTTTCAATGTAAAAAATTTTTTAATAATATTAAATAAAAATATTTTCTTAAAAAATCTTAATATTATTATTGCTATCACGCTAGCCAATTGTGATGATAGAATTTCACAAATAATAAAACAATGATTTGTCCAAACACTATATTATGATATCAGTTAAATGTTGACAACCATTTTTGGACAACATGGAATTTCCCAATTTTGCCTTCAATAAGATGAAAGAAACTAATCCTAAAGATTTGATAATGTTGGTTCTTTAATTTCACAATGATCGAGTACAGGTTTCCTTTAACTGTGTATTATTAGTCATTCAATAATAATTATTATTTTTAAATTTCATCAAATTGATTATTAGTATTATCATTGTGAGTCTTTAGACCAGGGGCCATTATTTAAGCAATGTAAATAATATTTAGCTAAAAAATATATATGACTCATAACAATAGAAGTAGTAGAATGGCATCAATCTAGTCAAAGGTTTTCTTACATTATAAATTATTTTGCTTTGATTAGTAAGATTAATCGCTTAATTACGGTATTCAGAATCTAATTTATAATTTATTAAAAGTAAAATGATGGTGCTTGTTAAATAAGTGAACAAAAAACATAGGCTATTTTTGTTGGAGAATATCAAAAAAAAATCCAACAAAAAACAATTATCTGTATTCTCTTGTTATAATGATGATTTCTATTTTTAGCCAATTACTTGAAAAACTTCCAATTCATCAAACCTCATTGCTATTTTTGCATCCGTTTCATGTTTTCATGTTTTCATATTTTCATAATATAAATTTATTCCACTGCATTAATATTAAAATCCAAAGTATCCCCAATCAGCGCAATTGGGTTTATTGTTGTTGGGCCGTAAAATGAGACGAGCTTGTATTATCACTTGTACAAGAAAAGGTGGAATATGGATAAATTGATGATGATGAAAACTGCACGATCGTTACTATTGTTTTTATGAAGATTATCTTTTGTTGTATCAATTATTCAATAATTTGTATAGGAGTGATCAAAGTAAGCATTAAGGACAAGATCTATGAACAAAACATTCAATAGTTTGTGTAGGAGTGATCTAAGTAAGCACTAAGGACAAGATCTATAAACAAAATATACTAACAAACGTTTTATCAATTATTCAATAGTTTGTATAGGAGTGATCAAAGTAAACAAAATATACTAACGAATGTTTTATCAATTATTCAATAGTTTGTAGAGTGATTGAAGTAAGCAATAAGGACAAGATCTATGAACAAAACATACTAACGAATGTTTTATCAATTATTCAATAGTTATGTTTATTATTTATTTATGTATATAAATTCTCTTTTTAACTTATATTTAATAACATCACTATGATAAATAATTAAATGAATAAAGTCAGAGATAAAACACTATTTAATTTAATCATTATTGTTGCTTGTTTATTATTCTAATCATTATTTATGTATATTTATTATATTTACCTTTAAAATAATGTTTTTACTATAAAAGACATACCTAATTGATCAAAAAACTGTAAATATTCATAATAATGTAATATTTGGACATTTATTTCTGCTTATACTTTTATGCTTGCAATTGGACACGTCAAACAAAATTTTACGCATATGAGTATAAATGCAAAATTTGACTTTGAAGGTCATATTATTTTCGGTTTTATTAACAACCTGCCTTAAAAATTTTCTTAAAGCAGATACATGTGATAAAGAAGTTAATCTCAAATTTGGTAAAACAAGTCCTATCACAATAAAACTCTTGTTGTTGCCACACAAATTCTAGTCTTGTATACAAAAACAAAGAAAAGAAAACGAAACACCCAGCTAATTCCAAACAACGTTGGAGGAAGCTAAAAATCATTGTCGAGAAGATTATCTAAGGAGGAGCTATGAAATGCATTGATCCTAGAATGACAGTTGTTGCACGTAGAAGTTAAATAATTTTCGTGATATGTACAGCCAAACCTCGTTTCAAAAGATCTATAGGGAAAACATAAAAAAATTGCGTTTAAAATTTGTTTGAAAAATTTTATATTTTTATATGTAAAGTAAGTGAAACAAAAAAATTTGTTGTAACGCGAATTTAATTATTGAAGGTTTGGCTGTAGATCATTATATTAATAGGTGGTGTTACAATCAATGATCTTTTTGTAATAAATAAATAAAGTATTTTTTAATAATATTCCACTTTTTACCAAAGAAAATTTGAATTACATCTATAAATGGATAAACTTAAAGAGGTAAACAAATGTTTTTAAAAAGATTGATTTTAATAAAGACATTCTATAATAATAAAATAATTAATATTATAACTTCTATTATTATTGTTCATAGAAAATAAATACACTTAGAGATGAACGTGATGCAGCAATTGCTAGTAGTGAAGAAGTAAAAAATGAAAATAAGAAAGTTCAAGATGAGCTCACTGCTAAAGAACGAGAAAATCATTCTCTTACAAAGAAAGTTGCACAACTTGAGTCTGACCTGGATGAAGCTCTAAAAAACTTGAAAGAAATTACTGAAAAGTAAAGGTTTGAATTATTATTAGATTCATAGTACTGATATATTTACTAATATATGTATATTTTATTTATAGACTTCGTGAGATTGATGTTAAATCAGAAAGTCAAGAGCATCATATTGCTAAACTTGAAGAAGAATGTGCAGAAAAAGATACACAAATAGAAGAAAAGAAAAAGGCATATGATGAATTAAAAAATGAATATGATGAAACTATTAAACATCTTGATAAT